GGGCCTGCCCCCCCAGTGGGGACCCCTCCCCTGAAGGGGGTGTGACCAGCTGCAAACAGCCTTCAACCCGTCATCCAGGCTGGCCAAGCACCCAAGCAGGACCCCCACCCTGATCCGGGACACTTTCAGGGCAAACCAGCCGGCCCCCACTCATGCACCAGGCCTCTATCCTATACTACAGGCAGGGCCGGACAGCGCGAGCTGCCATCTGGGCCCCATGTGCAGCCCTGGGCAGCAGGGCTTAAGCCCCGCCCCCAGCCAGGACCCCTATGTGCCACCTGAGCCCCCAGCTGGAACCCCCATGCCACCTAAGCCCTGTACTGCTAAGTCCCACCCCCAGCTGGGACCCTATGACTATTGGAGAGCAGGAAAGTGCCGCTGGGCCCTGGGTCGCTGTGGTGATCGGCCATCAGTAAGTAGAAAAGTGCGGCCTGTAGGCAGCCCCCAGCTGTGCCTGATACCGGAGCAGGAAAGCAAGCCTGACCCGCTGGCAGCCCCCAGTTGCGCCTTCTCCCCGGTCGCCATGAGGATCCGGGAGCAGGAAAGCAAGCCTGGCTTGCAGGCAGCCCCAAGATGGGCCTGATGCGGGAGCAGGAAAGCCCGGCCTGCGGGCAGCCCCCAGCTGGGCCTGCTCCCCAGTCACCATGGGGATCTGAGAGCAGGAGAGCAAACCTAGCCTGTGGGCAGCTCCAAGCTGGGCCTGCTCCCTGGTCACCATGGCAATCTGGGAGCAGGAAAGCCCAGCTTGCAAGCAGCACCCCCATCCTGGCCATAGCTCAAGGGAGAGTACAACATGCAGTGGAGGCCACGAGCACACACACACACACACACACACGTATGGGACGCCTGCTCCAAGCCTCTGCTGCCAGACTGTGGCCATCAGTAGGACATCCACTGAGTGCTCCCGGACCGTGAGAGGGGCAGGCTGGGCTGAGGGAACCCCACCCCCCAGTGCATGAATTTCATGCACCGGGCCTCTAGTAGATATATAAACACATGAAGCAATGCACAA